AGATACACGCTGTATTAAACACGAAATAAGCATGATTACTAATAAACTTAAACTGAGTAGTATACCAAACCAAAGAATATTAAACACAGGTAGGCATAAAATTGTTTTCTATTACGGACCACAATTTTACCTGAATTTAAATTCCGAAACTTTAGGTAATAATCTTGTTGCATTGTATGTTAATGACCACCCTTGGATACTCCCATTCAAAAGCAATTGGTCACTTTGTTATATCTATGAACAGACCATACCATTACTTACGGAACACCCTTTATATTTGTTTATTTCAAAAGACGAATCTTTTAATTTCGGTAATTGGCGAACCAATTATTTGCATATAATGGTCAGGAATATGTTTCTTTAGTTCTTTGTGATTTCGTAAATTTTCGTTGAAAGTTGAGTTGTGTTCATCAAATCTCTACAATAGCATTGATCATTAGCCTCGGTTAGGGTAGAGGATTTGCATTTTTAATGAGTGGGATAGATGTGTGGTTCCACTACACGTTAGTCACAGTCAGTGACAAAGTATACTTCGACCAGAAATATAGTGCTGTTACAACCGATCCCGTGATTAACTTTGCCTAATGTTTACTACTCCAAAACCACTGCCCCTTATAGGACGCAACCGTTCCAGGACCGTCCTAGGAATTTATTTACCTACACTAACAAGCGGGATATAAGTATGTTTTCAATCTTTTTCGCCTAGCAATTCTTGAAACATGTACATAAAAAAATTAGTACTAAGAAACAATTTATTACGTTCTGTTTCATTACATTTCTACATTGTATTATTATTAATAGACAAAATGTGATAAATTTTGGTGCAGTGTTATTTCTTCTTATATACGCTTTGCATTTACGTATCAAATAAAAATTTCAAGTTTTTACAAACATTCGTTACTGTCCATCTCAGGCAAGACCTATTTAATGCGATAAGGATTAATCTTAAATACTTAAAACGTCAAAACAATAAATGCGTTATATTTTTGGTCGTATTATAATTGCCTCTATCGAAGTATCGCCAGGCTTCCGCTGTTCGCTTGGAGTAGTTTTACATTTCGTGAAAGTTTTGACTCAAACAATTTCGATTAGGCATCAGATCTTCGTGGAAATGCAATGTGTACAGAAGATTTCGGTTTCCTGCTTCGACGTTCGCCGCGACAGAAGGCAATTCGCCAAAGTGCATCCGATATGTTTATTTTCTTGAAGCAATCAATAATTCATTACGGAGAACTTACGTCTGCGAACTTTGGATGATGTAAATAAACGCTGCCAGAAGTTATTTACTATTAAATTGCAGTGTGCTTTTAAGGAAAAGGAAATTTGGTTTATATATTTTTTGGTTGTTGGAATATGATAAATTAATTTTTCTTTTATTTACGGTGAATGCTGAAAAATACCTTCAAATATTAAGAACATTGGTTTCGACGTTTGGGGTGTCGGATTGGTAGGCAAGAACGCCCGATCTCAAGCCGTTAGATTTTCACCTATGCTTGAAGGAATAGACAGTGAAGAACGAGAGTTTAATTTGCTCTTAAAAAATCATGATGAGTGTGAAGTAGCTAGTAAATTGACAGTATGGACCGCTGCATGCAGGCAGTTATTAGAGCCTGAGGAGGCAATACGAAATATTAAGTTAAGTTTGTTTGTTTCAATTCGTTTGCTAAAAATAAATAAATAAATTTGTTTTAAATTGTTTATTTTGCTCTTAAAAATCACTTAAAGGCATAAACTAATAAAAGAAAACAAACCGTAGAAAATGAATGGTTCTTAACGAATATTTATCATTTAAAAAAAATTATATGTATTGGACTGAAAAGCCAACATGGATTAAAATTGGCCATGACTACATATTTGAGACACCTATGATGTATTAGAATATAGAACGGAATGTTCCGAACACTCTGTACAATATGTGAAAACCTTGAATACAAAAATTTTAGCCGTTCATACGGGCTATATAAAAATGTGAATGAAACTGACAACAGAATCACAGCCTTCTAGTTATGGTCTATTATCAATATAACGGGAGCTCAATTTTCAGTTTTTTGTAAATTACCGACGCACCCTGTACATTTTTAAAAAAATCATTAAGAATAAAGGTTTTTCAATTTCAGTTTTTAAATTTTTAAAAATAATTCCCGACCCCCAGCCCCACAGTTCTAATAGGCTTTGTTACGGAGCTAAACTCTATACATCTGTCAAATTTTAAGTGGATGGCTTCAAACTTCGGACACTTATCGAGTTTCATAGCAATGTCCAAAAAGCAGTAGAAAATCTAAAAAAATACTGGTTTGTGTAGCTCGTGCACGACTTTAAGGGAGCCAAATTTGAAGGCCGTGTTGTAAACCGTTCAAAAGATATAACCAATTAATTCGATTTCATCGATTTTTCGAAAGCAACAAGAAGAATATGCTAAATAAATTATAATAAAATTTGTTTGTGCAGAAAATGCACAAACTGTTGTAACAAAATTATGAGACTCCAACTGAGAGCAAATGCAACATAAAATTCCCATATAAAGAAGCAGTAGAAAGTTTACTATATATAAGTAACAGAACAAGACCAGATCTTTCATTTGCAATGAACTATTGCAGTCAAGTTTCAGAAAATCCAAACGAAACATCCGTAAGTAACATAAAAAGATGTTTGAAGTACGTGAGGGGAACAATCTCTGATGGCATCCAATATAGGACGAATGGCGATTTAAACACAATACTACAATCTTCTCCGCGGGAGGACCCATTGCATGGTGTTCAAGAAGGCAATCAATAGTGGCAACTTCTTCCACAGAGGCGGAATTTGTAGCAGTGGCAGAATGTACAAACGAACTAATATATTTACGAGGGCAGCGCCAAAATTTCCCGGCCTGAATATGAAAGAAACAAAGTAGAGTAACAATTTTTTATTATTCTTCAATATAATCCTCCTTAACTTCAATACACTTTATTAACAAGTCAATCCCTTTAAAAAAATATTCTTTTGGTTTATCTGCAAAATGAGCTAAAACAGCCTCTTTTAACTCAACTTCGTCGTTAAACCGCCGTCCACGTAAGTCCTTTTTCAAATATCCAAACAAATAGTAGTCGCTGGGGGCCATATCTGGACTATACTTACTATACTTACTGTATTTAAGAGAAGACAAAGTTTTATCGTAATACCGGAGCTGCATCTATGTCAGGCCGGGAAATTTTGGCGCTAACCTCGTAAGTGAAGTGATAAGTGAATACACAGTACAAAAGACAGACACCGAACTAAATATGTTTAATTAAAAATGGTGTGATTGTCCTACAGAACATCAAATGGCGGATTTCTGTAAGAAACAATTGAAAAATGTTAAGTTCAACACATTTAAAAATATGATTATCGTTTAGTTTATACAAAGTTATTTCCATAATGTTATATGTTTAGATTAGGAGGGTGTGATGAGAAATGTGGTAATAATCGGCAACATATAACATAGCAACGTAGCGTTTTGTTGGAGTTAAGAAGAGAAGAAGAAGCGGGAAGAAATCGTAAAATAGTGGATGTAATAAAAATCAGGTTTCGTTGTGTTTTCTTAAAAAGGCGTTTATTCCCACCAAAATATCAATCGTTAACCACGACAACTCTCAACAGTTGGCACATGACAGAGAAACCAAGAATATCAAAAATAATGGTTCAAAATCGCTAAAATCAGTATAAATACCCATGTACAGGGTGCGGCAAAAATTTAGGCAGGATTTCAAATAGTGGTTGTTTGGTTTGTAAAACCGGCAACACTGTGTACGCACTCGCGTTAGGCAGACAAACGTATGCAAATTTCAGTTATCGACATGGCTTGGAGCGGAGTGCATCGTGCTTTCGTTGTCCAGGGGTTTATTAGAAATAGAACAATTCGCCGGTGGGTTTTACACTTCAGGGAAACAGGTTCTGGGCTTAACCGAAAACCTACTGGCCGACCAAGGACAGCGGAAAATGTGAATGCAGTAAAAGTTTCTGTACAACAGTCTCCAAGGCGTTCAGCTCCTAAGCATGCAGCAGCTTTGGGAAGTTCGTGATAGAAGTGTTCGAAGAATTTTACACAACTCACTCCAAATGCATCCGTACAAAATGATGGTAGAGCAGGAATTAAGCGCAAGAGATTTTGACAAATTTATGACGGGAGATTCTTCAAAACATTCCCAGAGGCGCTGTATTCATGTCTAGCGATGAAGCTCACTTTCAGCTCTCGGGTACCGTAAATAAGCAAAAGTTCCGTTATTGGTCAGCAAATAGTCCACAGGAATTTCATGACCTCTTCACAGTCCAAAAGTCACCGTCTGGTGTGCAATCTCGGAGTTCGACGAGTGGGGTCCTTACTTTTTCGAAGAAGGTGGAATAACGGTAACAGTCAACGGTGTCAAAAGTGAACGAGTTGAACAACGATCAAGGAGAACATCTTTGATTCCAGCAGAATGGTGCTACGTCGCACACAACGCGTCGTTCACTAAATCTTCTTCAAGAAATGTTCCTAAACAAAGTGGTGTCTTTACGGGGTGATCTTGGCTCGCCGCCACGTTCGCCTGATTTGTCGCCTAAGATAAGAAATTGCCTCAATTTCCCAAGAAATGATGCATCGGGTAATGATGCGCTTCCGCGAGAACCCACAAGAGTGCATCGACAATAACGGCCTTTATTTAAAAGACATAATTTTTAAAAAATAACGTTCCTAAATGGCATAAAATGTACATTTCAAAAACAATTTAAAAAAAATGTCTGCTTTATGTAGTTTGGTTTTTATTAACATCCCAAATAGTACCTATCATTTTGCCGCACCCCGTAGTTCATTTTATATCAGAAGGGTCCTATAGTTTTTCCCAATTTTGTGAAAATTAGTTTACGCCGAAGGTCTCCTGAGTTGACATTCGATCTTTATCTTATTAATAGAAAAAGGTCGCGGCATAAAACAACGCGATGATATAATTAAATTTTCAGAGTAGCATCGACGGTCCGAACTTTTAATTCTTAATGAAACATACCCCGAGATCGATATGGGTAATGTAGATCGGATACGGCAGCACGAGACAAACCGAAGTGAGCCACGACCCTATAGTACAGACGAACGCCGGTAGGCGTGGCAAGGTGGGATGCCTGAGGTACCTGTACCTATCCCAGGACAGGAAGACATAGGTGAGCATCGTCACGTGAAGCGGGATGTCCTGAAAAAAAAAGCGAAGTAAAATTAGAAACCAATGTCGAATTGGAGTAAGATCACGTCAAGTGGACCCCCCATTTACCATTTGACCATAAAAATTTAATCTATATATATTTTTGTTACAAGCACTTATGATGGAAAATTGATCCCCCAAACTTTTTAAAATTTTGATTTTAATTTTTTAAATGAAAATTTTAAGCAATTTTAAATAAAAATTTGATTAAAAATCAACACTATGTAAAATTACTTTATTATTAACTTATAAGTTAACAAATGAAAATTTAACTGATTTCTTGGTAAAAAAGTCATGTTTTTTTATCGGTGACATGCTTTATCCATTTAAGTTTAAGGAAATCTGGGAAGGTATATGTAATATATATAGTATATAATATAATGTATAGTATATATATAGTATATATAATTTTACAACATATCTATTTAAGCACTATGCTGAATTATTTATATATATTTTTTCCATAAAATAAACATATTAAACATTTTTTCTCCAGTTTTTAATAATAATAATAATAAATTTATTCATAATTAAATGAAAATTAAGTATGACATAAAATTAAGTAAAGTTAAGTGAGGAAAGGTCAGAGAAAAATATGACGTAAAAAAAAACAAAAAAAAAAACGTCATTGTCATATCACTAAACTGCATAGCAGTTTGTGCGTGTATTTCAAGTAACTAAAGTTAATGGGATTAAATAAAAGAAACTAAAACAATACAGATATTAAAATATTTATAAAAAGAAAAATTGCCTAATATGCTTAAAATACAGTTAAGTTTTTAAAAGCATAAATTTTATGTTAGTAATTTTTGGCAGCTATGATTATGACAAGTGACTTATTTGTCAAATATAGTAATAAATCGGTGGTTATAACTGTTATTTCATTTCGGTTCAAGAAAACGAAAACGATATTTTTTGGATGTGACCGAAAAGAACGAAAACGAACAAAATACTTTTCGTTTTTAGTGCAGTTTAGTTTGAGTTAGCTGGGTTAAAAGCAACTCCAAAGTTAAAGCGATGAACTTGTAACGCCCGCAATTTATGTGGATATTTTAACAAAGAAACGGTCGGTATAATTGAAATATCGCCATGGGTGGACGTAACGGTTTTCGCCCGACCAATAAATAACTGCGCCGCAATAAAGTGTTTGGCTAAAAGCTCGGCCACGCAGACATTCGCGAAATCCTTGGATATTTATGAATAAATTTGAGAACCTGCTTTCTTCATTTTCATAGTTTTCTATCTCGCTCTCTCCTGTTCTTCGAACACTGATACTTTATTTTCATTAGTCGGTCCCTATGTTATCGTCGTAAATTAGTTCGCTAGTCTGCTTGCTGTCACGTGGAAGATCAGCAAAGCAAAGTAGAATTTAGAGGTTTTGTTTGACTGTTAACAATAATGAATTTTCTTATTGAATATCAAATATTTAGGGAGAGATTTTAAACTTTTGAAATAAAACTTTCAATGTCATTTTCACGTGCTATGTATCAAGAGTGTTTAGTGTGGTTTAGTGGCATTGATGGTGCGCCACTGATTTCTCTCCAAATAAAAAATATTTTTTCCAATGACGGCTTTTTTCGTCTTTTTCAATTGAAGGCCGTCATTATTTTTTTTATGGAAATCAGTGGCGTGCCATGAAAAAATAATAATTTCGCTAATCGGTTAATTAATTAAATTAAAATGTTTTTTTTTTGCTTTCACGTTTCTTATTAAAAAGAAAAAAAATACAATCTAACATTAATAATTTTTAAGAAATGCTCATATGAAGTTTTCTTTTTAAAATGGACCCAGAAATCGCCGCCTTAATCATGAACATTCAATTAGAAAAAACCCTATATATGTGGAGAACAACAGCGGCTTGACAAAAATAATTTAGCTCCAAAGAACGGCGCTCCAAATATTGTTTTCTTAGTTCTATTGCAAGACCTTTGAGAAACAGTATTCTCGTAATTGAATATCTTTTGCTATCAACAGCGTCAATTATCTGTGAATTTACTCCAGCCATATTTAGTTAGGCATAAAATACCACCAAAGGTCATCGTCTAGTATTTCTAGCTACATCAAACGTAGCAGATAACTTGTCCGGGTTATCAACACTCCCTTTAGTAGGTAATTGTTTCAAGCTTCTTTTTCTCTTCGGTTGACTTATCGATTAAGTCATCGTGATGTAAGGAGGAAACTAAAATTTTTATATTTTTTTGGAACATATGACATTATCGTCAAATTTTCTTGAAACCCAAAAACAGTAGACCATACGGGTCGATTTCTCGTGTAGACGAAATCTGGTAGAAGTTCCCTCTTGTTTTCTTTAATGCTTAAAAGCTAAATTACGTTTATTCAGTAGCTTGTTGACTAGGTCGATACTGGTGAACCAATTGTCATAAGTAAGGTTCCTATTCAACCCGGAAATAGGCTCTATAAGTTGTAGAACAATGCTACATGGATCATTTTTAACTTCATAAACACCCTCAGGTTGCTGTCCTACATAAAAAAACCAAGGCAAAAATCTTTATTCCATATTTATTGGGCTTATTTGGTATGTACTGCTTCAACCCACTGCGTCCTCGAAAAGCCTCAAGTTTCTCATCTACAGTTGCATTAGTTCCTATACAGTAGGCGATTTTACAGTTTTGAACAACACAATCGTTATCAAAATCGTTCAACCCTAGTTCCTGTTCTGTCCCAGATATCTTTTGTATTCAGTCTACTACTTTTTAGTATTCCAGCCAGGTAAAGCAACCCAATTAATGCTCTAATTGCAGTTAAGTCAGTTGGTTTACATGCTCTGTCTCTAGAATAGATTGCAACGTGAACCAGCAATTCATTGGCGAAACAGCGTTTCTTGCATAATCTCTTACTCTAGGAAGGCGTACGATAATATTTTCCTGTCCGGTACAATGTTTTCTCCATGTTGTACCACCATCTTTCCTAACAAAACGTGGACTTCTTAGGATCTTTACTGGAGGTTCCATTTCCTCTGAATCTGAATCATTACATTCCTGCTCAGACTCGCTATCCGTGTCCATTGCCTCGAGTATATCGTTCAAATAACGATCGAAATATAATATATTTTCAGTTTAAATTACAATTAATTAAATTGTTTTATGTAAATGCGAAAAAGGTAGAAAAATTCCTAGAACGGTCCTGGAATGGTCACGGGTAAGGGACTGCTCGGCAGGGTGTTCTATAAGTTTTGGAGTAATAACCAGTAGGCAAAGTTAATCACTATATTTCTGGTCCAAGTATATCAGTAAGAGTTTCATTATCATGTCTGCATTTTATTCATCTTAAACCTGCGCCTTGGTCGGTGTAGAATAATTGTTATTTTATTGTTTGTTTTTTTATTTATTTGTTCACTGTAAATATTTTCCCATTACTTCTTTTCTCAATCTGCTTTCAAGTCTACTTCAATATCACTCTTTGTATAAAGTCGAAATTATTGAGAGTTTTTGATTACTAGACTAATATTAATCGCTGGCTGGTGTTTATCCGGTCTAATATCATCCACCTACGTCACCAGGTGATTATTTACAGACACATGAAACAGCTGCTCTTCCATTGAAGCATTTAGTTGGGGGTCGACCTATTTATACCTAAACTCCCTTTGATCGTTCGCGCGTGAATCGGAAAGTTGACAAATATTTGGGTGTTCGGCTTTCAGCGACCGACTTACTAACACCAACGCATCTAAATATACCGTTCCGAGCCCCTGAAATAGTCCTGGGGATGAAAAATGCTCAATTTGGATAGTTTTGGTAAAATGTATTTTTTTTTGTTGATTTAGCTGGGTATAATCCTATTAAATTACACTAAAAGAAGAATTACATTAAATATATTCAATAAATTTATACCTAGGAATATCTATACATACGAGATTAGCGCCAAAATTTCCCGGCCTGACATAGATGCAGCTCCAGGGTCACGATAAATGCATATCTAAGTAGGCTGTGAAAAAAAAAATTGAAGTCTTGCGTCAATTAGTTTTTCATTGACAGCATTATAAACAAGACGTATCCGAAAAAATGTCGCAAATAGAGTATAGAGCAGTCATAAAGTTTTTGACAAGACAACAAGACGTGGCCGAAAAAAAGTCGCAAATAACGAAATTATTAAAGAAAGGCTGGATGGTGTGTACGGCCAAAGTTCTCCTTCGTATTCTGTAGTGAAAGAATGGGCACAACGTTTTCGAATGGGGCAGGAGTTCCTTGAAGATGATTCAAGAACTGGTCGACCAGTGGAGGTCATAACGGAATATATTGTTGCGATTGTGGAAGAGGTGGTATGGACTGATCGACGTTTAAAGGTCAGGGAAATCTCAGAAATGACGAAGTTTTCGGATACAAGTGTTCGTCGAATCCTGCAAGTTCATTTAGGTATGCATAAAGTCAGTGCAAGATGGGTTCCTAAAAACCTTTCGGCTATTCAAAAACAACGCCATGTCGAGTGTGCCCGGTCTTTTTTGCAACTCTGTGGGTCGGAACCGAAGCCTGTAATAGAAACTATTGTTACGAGAGATAAAACTATGATTCTCTATTAAGATCCTCTATAGAAGAAAGAATCAATGGAGTGGCGTCGTAAGGGTGAAGCACCTCCAAGAAAATTCAGAGTCTGCCAGTCAACAAAAAAAGTGATGGCCACCATCTTTTGGGATTGTGAAGGTATTCTTTTTATAGATTTTGAAGAAACTGTCCATGATAAATAATACGCAACATTATCACATAAATTTCGTGTAAAACATAAAGAGATGTAATAAGTGTATTGAAGTTAAGGGGGATTATACTGAAAAATAATAAAAAATTGTTACTCTACTTTGTTTCATTCATATTCAGGCCGGGAAACTTTGGCGCTGCCCTCGTAATAACATTTTCATTCTAAATGTTTAAATCTAGTTCCGATTCTTTTGAAACCAATTTTCAAAGAGTTCGGCACTTGTATCTTCACGATAATCCAAGCTAGAATCCAACAAAAACAAACAGGTAGAACATTTAAGA